TTCACCCAACTCCAATCCCCATTTTGACTCCAACCTCTCTTCACAAAGCACATATATCATTATTTTGATACAATTTATTATGAATTAAAAAGAGTTAATTATTCTCATTCTATTTTGTTCCAAAAACAACATATTCGTTATTTTTATTATACATAATTACATTAATACATTTTCACACAAAATATACTTCCTAAAAAAATTAAAATTCCAAAGTTATTAATGTATTTAGAGCAAAAAAGAGAGTGTATTTAAAACAAAGTGAAATAGGAATAACAGTTCCCATTAAAAATTAATAATTAAAAAGTAAAAATCAAAACATTTTTTCCCAATTTTTAGATAATTATTTTTTTAATTTTATTTAAATTATTTTTTGTCTAATAAGTTGCGAATAAAACTTATATATATATATATATGTATACACTATATATATACTGATTTGTTTAGGAATGCAACTCGTATGGACCACTCCTTTATTAAAGAAATATGCTGTTGAGTCACATAGCAGATATCATGATATCCAAATAGGAAAGTACAAAAAAATATCACAATCACTCAACTTTCAATTCAAGATGTAACTTATCACAAGGAGAAGATAGCTAATTTTTGGAAATATAATTAGTCATAATAATTGTCATTGACGAGAGTGGGTAATGTGGAATGACATTGTTGTCGTCAGCAATTATTTAGATCATTAATTTTGGTATTTTAATAGAACATTAATGATACGATAATGAATAAAAAAAATAAAAATAAAAACAAATTAAGACTAAAACATCACATCACTGTGGGTGAAATCCACTGCTAATTCATTAGAGCTATCTTTAGAGCTCAAAAATTAGAATTCCAAAGCATTTTTCTTGTTGTCATGCAGGGTCGGCCCTGAGTTTTTGGGGCTTAAGGCGAAATAATTTTTCGGGACCTTTTAGATATTCATAAGCATAAAAATAAAAATCACACTGTTTGGTTTAGAATTTTGAAAAATAATTATTTGAGTTTGCAATTCGTATTTTTTTTTATATTTTTTGTATTTGGCAACTTTTTTTATTTTTTTTTATAAAAAAAGTACAAATATTATAGTTTATAAGTGTATCTAAATTAGATGTATCTACAAAACAAATAAATAAAATTGCGTAAAATATTTAAAAACCACTAAAAAACACATATTGGGCCATAAAAAGAGAAGAAATAAAAATAGGCCCCACAGACATATACATATATTTTATATTTGATTTTTTTAATTGGGCTAACAACTAATACTTATAAATATTTTTTAACTGGGTCTTTTATCAATTGGGTCAAATAGAACTTTTGAGGCATTTTAAAATGGCCTAAATTAGTTAAACAAATTTGAGCCATTTTGAATTTTTGCTATAGTATAAGATAATGAATTTGGAGACCTTTTTTTGAGCTTAATTTTTGGGGCCCTATTGTCATGTTGTTGTGAGAGAGTTCTTTATTTATTTATTTCTTTTTAAACAAACAAAGAAATATTTAAAAAAGGTAAACAATTTATGAGCGTAGCTAACAAAATCCGAACAATCGATGCACGTTACTCACTATTTTGAGAGAATATTTTGAAGATCAAATTATTAGTCTAAGCCAATATTAAGACATTTACATTATTATCATCGTATACGGTATAATTTTGATGGTACTTTTATTTTTTCTTAAGCAAAATATGTAATGGAATACATAGTAGGCTTGAAATTGCATTCAAGGCAAAATACAGTTGATACAAGGTAAGCCATGATGTATAAAGATATACATGAGCAATGATCTCATTGCAAATGATTCTCACAAAAGGATAATTTCTATTTTTTAAAAAGAATAGTTTTGAGATACTCAACTTTTAGAATGTATGCTTGCAAATGAAACATAAGTCCTATATTCGGCCTCTTTTTCCACTTACGTTTGCACCACATTAGTTTTTTTCTAAATTTTTTTTTAAAATTTTATTTTAGTACAACGGAAAAAGAAAAACAAAGTAAAAAGGCAAGGGAACTTAGGCTAGATCCAGGGCCAGTTATGACATTTTTTGGGCCAAAAAGCTCCCGACAGGGGCCTTTCATACATTGAAAAAAGAAAAAATAATTGTAATCAAAACATTATTCACCAATTTTTTTTGACATAAAATTTACATAAATATATATAACAAAGTTTATAATAAAAAAATAACTAAAATAATCTAAACTCAAGTACTATGTAAAAAATAAACAAATTGTAATAAAATATCATTTAAACATCACCATTCTCACATTTTTAATTGCAAAATTGCTAATCAAACTCAAATAATTCAACTTATCAACTAAATATTTTTCAATAGATAATATTACTAATCCATTTAATCTTTATTGTGACATAGGTAAAATTTATTTAGTTTTCAATTTAATTTTTTTTTTCACCAGAAACAATTGTAACGCATATAATTAGTTGTATTCAATACACAATTCATAAAACTGGGAAACAACCATCTATTAATTTTAAATAACTCATTAAATCAATAGGCTTTTCAATTTTTTGGGATAAAAACAATCATCTATTAGTTTTAAATATTTCACTCTATCAACCATTTATTAATTTTGAACATCCATCTTGTTTTGTTTAGGTGGATTTTTTATTTGTTTATTTATTTTTATAAACTAGTATAATAGCTAAAAATATTTTGGAACCTTTTTTTTAATTAATTTTTGAGACTCAAAGCGACGACTTTACTGGTTTTGGATTAAAGCTGACCCTGGCTATATCCACCGATATTCCATCCCCACCATATCGGCAACAATTTGATTCCTAACAACCATGGGTGGTTTTTCCACCACCACCAAGGGTTCAGTTTGGTTTGCTCCCATGTTGGCGAGCTTGTTTGTGCATTGAGTGGCTTTGCGCATGATGTGGCAAATGGAACAAAAGATGCCTTGAGTCTTCACTATAACATATAAGAATTTTAGAGATCAAATTTTTTGGTATTTAAAAGTAAAAATTTTGTTGTAAAAGATATTTAGGGATCAATTTCTATAGTCGTAAGGATAGTTGCTAGAAGGTCGTCCTGAAAAGTTAAAAACAAGGCTTTTAGTGACAAAATTTTGAAAATATCACTAATAAATAAATTTTTAAAAACAAAATAATTTGGTCTCAAAATAGTTTATTTTTTGAAACAAAAATTTTGGTCCAAAAATGATAATAATTCATCACTAATGTCCAATTTTTGTTACTAAAAATATAATGACGACATTTTTCGTAACAAAAATATTTGGTTCTTAAAAAATAATTTTGTCTTTAAATTTTAGTTTCTAAAACCTTAATTTTTTGTATTGCTTCAACAATACTTCTGTAGGGACAGATCTGAGATGATCATTTACGGTAAGTTTGGTTGGAGAATTTGAAAAGAGATTTGAAAAAGGAAAGGGAAAAAATATTTGAAATTAGCTAAAATGTAAGTATATTTTTTCATATTTTAAATACCTTTTCTTTTTCCCTTTTTAAATTATTTTTCAAATCTCCCAACTAAATACAGGGTTAGTAAGCAACTTTGGCTCCAAGGTTGAGTATGTTTCAATGATAACTTCATGGAGGCTTTTCTCTATCACAATTGTGAGGCCCCGATAGATTCTCACATTTCAACTTCTAGGTTTTGACAGTGAAAGGGGTAAATAAGAAATAGGTCGGACCCAAGCCTTGGGCCGGTCCAATTACCAAGCCCAAATCCAAATGGGTCAGATGAGCATGTGGGCAACCCAACTAAGCGCAACTTCATGATCAACAGTCTATCCAAGCCCTCAAGCACTTGGGCTCAACCCGCAGTAGAAAGGCTAGTCCAGCCGCGATGCTGGGAAACCAAAAGAATGAGGTTTGTTATCAGCATGACTACAATAAGTATAAGCACCTCTTGACAACTACCTGATGGTTCCCCACCTGGTGCCATGCTAAAGGAAAATCTAGCAGCACCAAAGCTCCATGAAACCATCTTGAGAAGCAAGTAAGGAACCTTATATATACTACATGAACTTCACATTGAAGGTAACTGAACCGATCCAAACTGAACATCACTTACTTACAAACTCAACTCTCTACACTTCTTCTCCGATAACTTATTCCCATACCGGAGGGGTTATTCGGCCAACCCCGGCCAGGTAGCTCTTACGATGCTTCTTATGGCAGGAACCTCAATCCTTGGATAGTCCAACCGAGTGCGGAGCCCCGATCCACTTTCATCTAGTACGGAATCCGGTACGCACAATTAGTGTGGTGAGCGTGGATCACTTCGTCTCTAAGCTCTACACTTAGTTCCGGCGATGGGGATTGAGGACATCCCACCTTCGACACATACTCCATAGACAGAGAAGACAAAGGACAAAGGCTTGGCACTCCCAACAGTCCTAGAAGAACAAATTGGAAACAATAACCGGACCCCTGAATCCGTCGAGCATCAATTACCTTTCGCTGGAGGTTCTTCTCATCACTTTCTTCTGGAAAAGGATTATAGAGATCGAATCATAGACTCCATGGGGATGGAGATACAAGAGCTAAAAGCCCAATTTAAAAGGGTGCTGGGTGATCCAACGGAAAAGAAGACTGAAGCAGAGCCCTCTCGCTTCCAATGGAGGAGCTTATCCAGAGAGCCATCAGTGAAGAAGTTCCCCAGAAATGAGTCTGGGAAACAAAGCTAGCCTATCCCGGTAGAGAGTGAGGCGGCGAGCAGCCACACTCGTGGGTCACGCCGGAGAAGGGCTAAAAGGTAGAAGACGGTTAGCCAACAGACTGAATACCCTCCTCAAGACCTTCGTACTTGGTTGATCGGCAACAAGCAGAACGAGCAACATCGGGATCATCTGGACCGCACTGTTCACCAGAGAGAGCATCGAGTGCTGGATAGGCTCGTTTCCTCGCTATTCTCCCCGGAAGTTGAGGCCATGAGACCTCCAAAGAAATTCACCTCGCCAAAGTTCACTTTGTATAATGGGAAGTCGGACCCACTGACGCATATTAGCCATTACAGATAGATGATGTCTCTATGGAGCCGAGATGAGGCACTGATGTGCAAAGTCTTCCCATCCAGCTTGGGAGAAACTGGACTTCGATGGTTCGATCGGCTCCTCGCTGGATCAATTCATGGCTGGAAGCAGCTTTCCGAAGAGTTCCTAGCCAGGTTCGTCTCCAATACTAAAATCTCGAAAGAGCCGGATACACTGTTCCGTCTCCGAAAGGAGCAGGAAGAAACGCTGCCCAGTTATGCTAGGAGGTACTGGGAAGAGTACAATGACCTGGAGGAAAACGTGTGCAGTGAGCAGATGGCCGTTATGTCTTTCAAACATGGTCTGGGACTGGAAAGTAAGTTGAGACAATCACTTACCAGGCGCCTAGCTACAACATTGAAAGATTTGTGTGCCAAGATTGAGCAGTACGCTTGCCTCGAAGATGATCAGATCTCCATTGAGGTAGCATCAGCAGAACAAACAGCTCGGCACAAGAAGAGAACAGATCGAGGAGAACACCGAGGGCTCATGGTGAATGAGGTGGATAAGTCCAAATCTCACGAAGCCGTCGTGACTGTATTCAAAGAACCGATCTATCGAATCTTGGAAAAGATCAAGAGAGAGCCCTTCTTTGTTTGGCTGTCGAAAATGTTGGAAGATCCGGCTCGGAGATCCGGCTCGGCGCAATCAGAAGCTCAGATGCACCTACTATCAAGACAGGGGACACATGGCTCAGAACTGCAGAGCACTGAAGCAACACTTAGAGAACCTAGTAGCAGCTGGGCACCTCCGGGATTACATTGATCAGGATAAGGAAGTGACCGAACTGGGGAACCCACCACCAGAACCGAATACTGAGCACCCACCTCAGCTGATAATAAATGTGATCCATGGAACAGCGACCCAGGGACGTGAGGAGGCACTGAAAGAAGAGATTGCTAAGGCTATGCAAATTCAGCAGGTCATGTCAGTAGAGCCCGCATCGAAAAAGGTACGCACGGTACCCAAACCCCCCTTGTGTACTGTTTCATTTACTAGAAAGGATTTAGAAGGCATACAACACCCACTTACTAATGCACTGATTATTATTGTGGGAATTGGGAAACGATTTGACGTAAAACGAGTCCTGGTAGATCAAGGCAGCGCAGCAGACATATTGTATTATGACTTGTTCAGAAAGCTTGGTCTCTCCGAGCAGCACCTCACCCCAGCGATAGCTCCGTTAGTTGACTTCAATTCACAGCTAGAATGGCTGCTTGGCAGAATAGTGTTGCTAGTCGTGGCAGGAACAAAAACCCTCCAGATAGAGTTTCTAGTTATTAATACACCACACCATCCCCTTACAACGCCATACTTGGCCGTCCATGGATTCATCAAATGGAGGCAGTCCCTTTAACCTACCACCAGCTCATCCGTTTCCCAACGGAATACGGAGTAGAGCAGATCTCAAGGGATCAAGTTTGCGTCCAAACATTGCTTCATGGCGGTATTGAAGGCAAAACAACTCTGCAACCGGGTACAGACAGTGGAAATGGCCGAACAGCCAGTCTTGGAAGATGTAGGGAGAGCCCCAGAGGAAAAGATAGTAGAGGATTTGGAGAAAGTCCTAGTAAAAGAGGATGATCTAGAAAAGTACTTCCTTATCGGTACCTCGCTAGGCGCTGATAAGAAACTTCAACTGCTGGAACTGCTGAGGGAAGATATGGAAGTATTCGCATGGTCAGCATATGATACTCCAGGGTTGGACCTAGAATTTGCTTGCCACAGGCTCAACATCAACCCTTCCACTCGACCCGTTGTACAAAAAAGTCGGAGATCCTTAGTTGAGCACACTGAAGCAGTAATTGCCGAAGTCGAAAAACTCCTGGCATCGGGAGTGATCAGAGAAGTTCAATACCCACAATGGCTGTCCAATACAGTTGTAGTAAAAAAGAAGAACGAAAAATGGAGAGTTTGCGTTGACTTCACTTGCTTAAACAAAGCCTACCCCAAAAATAGCTTTCCGCTACCTCGTATCGATCAACTGGTAGACTCAACAGCAGGGCATGAGCGCATGAGCTTTCTGGACGCTTATAGCGGCTATCACCAGATACCACTGTTCGGTCCGGAACAAAAAAGACAGCATTTATCACTCCGAAGGGAACTTACTGCTACAAGGTCATGCCCTTTGGACAGAAAAATACCGAGGCAACTTATTAGAGGTTGATTAAAACCATGTTCAAAAATCAAACCGTTAGGAAAACCATGGAAGCTTATTTAGATGATATGGTAGTAAAAATCAAGCTCGCTACAAACCACCTTGCAGACTTGAGAGAAGTTTTTGGCATCCTGAAAAACCATTAGCTTCGCCTCAATGCCTCGAAATGCGCTTTCGGGGTAGGAACAGGGAAGTTCTTGGGATACATGGTCACTCGCAGAGGAATCGAGGCGAATCCAGATCAAATCAAAGCAATACAAGATCTTGAAGTACGAATAAAGGCTAAAGAGCTGTAGAAGCTGGCCGGAATGGCGGCCGCCCTGAATCGGTTCATCAACAAGTCTTCAGATCGGATGAAGCCCTTCTTCCAACTATTAAGGAAAAGGGCAGCGTTTGAATGGAGTTTCGAGTGTACCGAAGCACTATAAAGTCTCAAAAGATACCTCAGCACACCACCTCTTCTGTCTACTCCAGAACCAGGAGATGAGTTGTACCTATATCTAGCAGTCTCAGATCATGCCATAAGCGCAATATTAATTTGAGAAGTTAATAAGGAACATAGGCCAGTATACTATGTTAGCAAGACTTTACTAGATGCCGAGACACGGTATCTATCCTTGGAAAAGTTAGCTTACGCACTGCTTATCGCCTTAAGAAAGTTGCAACATTACTTCCAGGGGCATACCATCAACGTCCTCACTAAATTCTCCCTCAGATCTGTATTCAGCCGAGCTGATTTCTCTAGCCGAATAGCAAAATGGGGTAGTAGAACTTGGTGAGTTTGACATTCGGTATCAACCCAGGACGACGATCAAGGCCCAGGTCTTAGCAGATTTCGTCGCAGAATTTGCTTCTACCCAGAGTACCGAGCCAGAGAATCCCAGTTTGGCATAGGCGCCATGCACCATCGAACAGGGAAAACACTGCGCTTCGGACGCATGGAGACTTTTTATTGGAAACATTTGGCAACTTTATGTTGACGGGTCATCCAATAACTGAGGCTCGAGGACAGGAGTAGTACTTATGTCACCAGAAGGATTTATCTGGGAACAAGCTCTCAGGCTCGGTTGGAAGGCTTCAAACAACGAGGCAGAGTACGAAGCATTATTGGCTGGCTTACGTAGTGCCGAACACTTCAGTGCAGAACAGCTTCTTGTTTTCAACGATTCACAACTAGTGGTATACCAGCTCTCTGGGGTCTATGAAACACGAGATGAAAGAATGGCTATGTACGCAGGCAAGGCCAAAGACCTACTCAAAAAGTTTTAATCCATACGAGTGGAACGGATTAGTCAGGACAAAAACAGCCATGCTGATGCTCTGGCTTGCCTCATCTCATCAGTGGATACCAAAGATGCTGGAAAAGTTTGGGTTGAGCTCGTGCCAGAACCAAGCATTGCATCTCCAATCCTCTGCAGCAACTTAGAGCCAAGTTGGATGGATCTGATACTTGCTTTTCTAAAATCTGATACTCTCCCCAAAGATAAAAAGGAAGCCAACAAAGTCAGACATAGGTCGGCTCGGTTTTGGATCTCACCATCAGGGAAGCTGTACAGACGCTCTTATCTTGGCCCTTATATTCTATGTGTGCATCCAAATCTAGTCGAGAATGTTCTCTACGAAATTCACGATGGGATTTGTGGATCCCACGTTGGTGGAAGGTCGTTGGCACACCGAGCCCTCACTTACGGGTACTAGTGCCCACGGATGCAACAAGATACACAGCAGTACGTACAGAAGTGTGATAAATGTCAGAGGTTTGCTCCACTCATTCATCAGCCAGCCAAAACTCTCACTCCACTGACCAGCCCATGGCCCTTTGCCCAATGGGGCCTGGATATTGTCAAACCATTGGCACGAGGCACTGGGAACAGGCGATTCTTTATTGCTGCAACCGACTATTTCACTAAGTGGGTTGAAGTCGAGGTGCTGGCAAGTATCAAAGAAGTGGATACAAAGCGGTTTGTCATGAGAAACGTGGTGATGCGTTTCGACATCCCGCGGATACTGATTGCGGATAACGGAACACAGTTCGATGGAAAAATCTTCAGAAAGTTTTGTGCCGACCTCAGGATCGAGTATCGGAACTCTTCTCCAGGGTACCCACAAAGTAATGGACAGGCAGAAGCGTCAAACAAAACCATCATCAATGGAGTAAAGAAAAAGAAGCGGCTCGAAAGTGCAAAAAGGGAGTGGGTTGAAGAGTTACCCCACGTGTTATGGGCTTACAGAACCATGGCACGGCGCTCAACGGGGGAAACACCTTACTTCCTAACTTACGGAATGGAGGCTATCATCCCAGTCGAAGTAGGTCTCCCAACCCTTCGGTCTGAATTGTTTGGAAGCACAAGTAATGAGGAAGCTATTGCACAAGCACTAGATATGGCAGAGGGCCGAAGAGAAGCAGCACTGATTAGACTTATCGCGTATCAGCAGCAGTTCATCAAAAGTTGCAATCAAAAAGTCTCCCCAAGGCAATTCATACCTGGAGAACTGGTTCTGAGAAAAGTTATGGATCACAAAAGGGTGCCTGGCGAAGGCAAATTTGGGCCTAATTGGGAGGGACCGTACAAAGTCACAGTTGTTGTTAGAAATGGAGCTTACTACCTAGAGGATCTTAAAGGTAAAGCTATACCTCAGCCCTGAAATGTAGCAAATCTCAAGAAATACTACCAATAGAATTATCCCCCAACTTCTCTATCAGAATGTAAAGGCAGTTATCTGTTGACCAATGCAAATGCTTTTCCACTTCTCTCAAATTTATCAAATTCTTGTAATTAGCTTTGACGTTTATCAAACGGAATTAGCTTTGGTACTTACCAAACGGAGTTAGCTTTGATGTTTATCAAACGGAATTAGCTTTGGTACTTACCAAACGGAGTTAGCTTTGATGTTTATTAAACGGAATTAGCTTCGATGTTTATCAAACGGAATTAGCTTTGGTACTCACCAAACGGAATTAGCTTTGGTACTTACTAAACAGAAATAGTTTTGATGTTTATCAAACGGAATTAGCTTTGATATTTATCAAATAGAATTAGCTTTGGTACTTACCAAACGGAAATAGTTTTGATGTTTATCAAACGGAATCAGCTTTGATGTTTATAAAACGAACTTAGCTTTGGTTTAAACCCAAACGAGCTTAGTTTCAGAACGACTGAACGGAATTTAAATTTGGTTAGCACTCAAACATGCCAAGTGTTATTGCTTGATGGAATTATGTTTGGCAACTAAATTGAATTTTAGCCAAGTGGAATTGCTCTGTGGAAACCACACTAACATATCTTAAGTAAACATCTCTGAATCCACAGAATTTCTTAAGTATCGTCACGTCAACACTTCAGTACTGATGCGAACAAACAGAGTTGGAACAAACTTGGCTCAGCTCTGTCAGAAGCAAACTTCCAGCATTAGTCTTACTCAACTCCAAACGGGGGCAAACAATTGTTTTTTCAAACCAACCTGGACCTGAGTAAGACACCTCTTCATGCCTTTATCCCATTCAAATGCACCTGTGCTATCAAAGTTGTAACAGACTTAAGCAGTTCTACCTAAGAGCACAATCTTCAGTACTAATCTTACTTAGCTCCAGGCGGGAGCAAACAATTGTTTTTTAGAACCAACCTGGACCTAAGTAAGACCCTCTTCCTTTCATTACAAAATCAAGCACAACCATGTAACATATTCGTTATCCAGACTGAGCATATGTTCAGCCCCGAGGTCCTAACAGTGCTCGGCCGGGGGCAAACAGTACAGAACCAGACCGAGCATATGTTCGGCCCCGAGGTCCCAACAGTGCTCGGCCGGGGGCAAGCAGTACAGAAAACATTCAGACATAGAAGCCAAACAGCATCAGATTGCAAATTCAAAAGGAAAATCCCATCATCCAACAAAAGGCACAGATGGTTTCATAGCCAGCAACAAAGAAAAGAAGAAAAAAGAAAAGAAAATAAAAGAAAAATTGTCTTAGCGAGTATAGAGAGAAAGCTCGTCAAGGGGGCCGAGCCACAGTACATCAAAACAGAAAATCAAAAATTTTAATTCCATTCAGAGAAAACTTCAACTTTCATTAACAGAGGGAACCTCAGGAGCAGCGTCCACGATCTTGTCCAGGCCGTCTTGAGGAGAAAAAGTACAGGCAGCTCCAACTTCCTGAGAAGTGAAAGCTTCCTTAACCACATCTCTCGCGGCTTCAGTCT